GAGCGTCGTACAGATTTCTTAATTCATTCAAACAGCATTTAATATTTTCTAGGCACTGGAGACATGGTACAACTGTTATGGCATACCTTCTCTCATAGATCTAATACTCTGCTAGATGGACTAGACCAAATGTCAGCAAACTACAGTCTGCAGGTCAAAGTGGGCCCACAGCCTGTTCTTTGTAAATAAAGGTTTACTGGCACACAGCCATGCTCATTTGTTTACATAGTATCTAGGGCTACTTTTGTGTTACAATGGCAGATTTGAGTAGATGTGACTGAAACTGTACGGCCCACAAAACCTAATATTTTTACTATCTGGGTCTTGACAGAAAAAGTTTATGGACTCTTATGCTAGACAATGAAAAAATAACCAATTAAATGTATGAGATAATTTTAAATAGTGATTAAGTGTTAAACACTAATGGTAATACATAACCTATCTCTATAGGGAATTGTTAATCCAACTTGAGATTCAGAGACACTTCTTAATTTTTTGCTTCCCTTTCCACAGACTCCAACTGTTGACACAGACTTTTGTTTCCATTCACAGCATCAACAGAACAGTGTGGTCTCCAATTCTTTTTCTTTTCTTTTTTTTTTTAACATCTTTATTGTAGTATAATTGCTTTACAATGGTGTGTTGGTTTCTGCTCCAATTCTTTCTTAACTGTCAGCCTTTAAGGAAAGCACACCAAAAAATTTTTTGTATTATGTGCTTTCCTCAAACATCTGGAGATCCTAAGCTATTAGACTGTATTTAAGACTGAGGCACTAAAACACTAAAACACTGTGTAAAAGTCCTATTTTCATGAACTGAGGTATATAGGTTGATGGGCTTCATTTGAGGGTAATCAGGCGGACAGCTATTTTTTTTTTCCAATGGGAGGTGTAACTATCAATAAAAAATAATTCTCCAATTTCTTGAGTAGATGTATGAACCCAGCTACCAGTTTTTTAGAAAGTTGACAGGGAAATGAGGCTAAAAATCTCACTGTTCAGCATGCTATTTTTAATTTAGTAATCTGTTTTCATATGCACCTCATTCCCAGTCTCCTAAGTGGAACTCCCAGGTATGTAGCCGCTCTGGTTCAACATTTTCAGACAGGCAGTGTCCTGCTGGGGAAGGATTAGCTGTCTGGCACTGTGTGGTCTTGAGGTCAAACACTTTATAAAGATTTTCAAACCATCCCCTGGATTCAGACCCTACCTCACCCTCACCTTCTATGGTTGTTGCCCATTCTTAAGCCATTCCAGTTGAGGTATATTTCATAATAGTACACTCACCTCCCTTCTCTCTCCCACATACAAGTTGTACCCGTTATACATATGCCAAGAAAAATAAATAAATAAAAGACTAAGTCCCTCAGTAAAAAAATGTCCTCTGGAATATGTTTCAATACCCAAAATACATTTCCTATATCTTTATTAAATGCTTGCACAGTAATATTTAGGAGTTTTATGTCCTTCTCTTGAGCTATCTAGTCTGTTCATACATAAATTTTCTATAATTTCCCAAATTTTGGCTTTGGATAGTATATATTTAATTTCAGTGAGAGAAAAACTAGCATAATGGTATTGTTGAAGTTAATTTTTTCGTAACACAGTACTCTATGATAGCAATTTGATTCTATGTACCAATTCTAGATTTGGAAAATGGTACTTCTTTCCCTGATAGTAAGTAAACTTAAGAAGGATTAGGTAATGCCTAGAAAAATACAATATAATTATAAATACAGTTAAGCTGGAAGAGGAGAGAATTTTCACTGCCAGCTAAATGGAGAGCTGTCCACTGTGGTCTATGAGTAAATGGTGCTACGTTCAGATTATATTTCTCTTTCTCTCTATATATAAATGTGCCAACTAATTCATGGAAAAATTCTAAACTTTACACTTCAAACATCTCTTACTTTCTTAAATGTACATTCTTTAGAGTCTCTGCCGGAAATATACACTAAAAGTTAACAAGACAAAAATAGTGATTAGTTTAAAGTTTTGTTTTGTTAATCCCTATTTTTGTGCTACCATTTTTTCATCCCTTTATGTACAAACATGTAAACCTTTAAGGAAAAAGATACTTTAAAATTTTTTAAAGATAATAACAATTTGACACTCTTATTTAAACCTTCTGATATGCCTTAATGAATTACTGTATTTCTATCTGTGATATATAGATTTTCTAATTTAATAAAGGTGGTGGATAATGGGCCAAGAATATTATGGCCTATTCCTTTAGTCAATATGGTCATCTATAATCTTTGCACACTACAGTATATATTACTATACTATACTATACTTTTTTTGTAGCAAAAACGTTGCATGCTGACTAGACCCTTTGAACTCACTGCCTAAATGTCTTCTAATAAACGACTCTTGGAAAGGCAAGTAAAAGTTACAGATCTTCTTTATAACCTTATTCTCTCATTCTATAATTACAGGTTCAACTTTTTATTCAATAATTCCAGAAGCCAATTTTGTCTGGAAAATATTCCTATTCCCAGGCAGATAAATGCAAAAGACCAGAAAGTTCTCTAACAGACAAAAATACAGATGGGGATTTAATACTGCCTATGATAATGATATTTCAAATTCCTGGGGAAAGAACTGAGCGTTCAATAACTGGTATTGGGGAAAATCTGATGGAAAAAAAAGCTATGTATCTACATTATTCCTTACACTAAAGTAAGCCCAAGTGGACCAGCTATATAAATATGAGAATATAATTCTGGGCAGGGGGAAGGGGGGGAACCAAAAAGAAATCCATCTTCATGTAGTTTATGTTCTAGAGCAGGGCTGTGTCCAATAGAACTTTCTGCAATGATAGAAATGCTCTGTATCTGTCCTGTCCAATACTGTGGCCACTCACTGCATGTAGCTACTGAGCATCTGAAATACATTGAGCTAGTGGACTAACAAACTGAATTTTTCATTTCACTTAAATTTAAATAGTTTAAACACACATGTGGTGAGTGGCCACTGTATTGGACAGAGTAGCTCTAGTGCACTGATTCTCAAGTGTGATTCACAAATCAGCAGCATCAGTGTTGCTGGAAACTTGTTAGAATTGCAAATTCTCAAGCCCCAGTCCAGATCATTGAATCGGAGACTCTGGGGTTGAGGCACAGGAATACGTGCTTTGACAAGCACTCCAGCTGATTCTGACACATACTATAGTTTTCGAACCAGTGATCTGGAGAGAAGAGGATAAAGAAACAAGTGCCATGATGAAAGTAAGATAAGGAAGGAGATTAGAAAATGTCCTAACTGAAAAAATGACATTGGAAAAGAGACCTGAATGGAATGGGATACTGGGGAAAGAGTGTTCCAGGCATAGTTGACAAGTGCAAAGGCCCCGAGGCAGAAGTGTGCTCCACATGTTTAAAGAAAAACAGAAACCAGCCTGCTGGGGTAAAAACAGTAGACATGATATCAGAGTGATTTTCTTATAGATCTGGAGGGCCTGGTGAAGACTTGGGATTTTATGAAGTGAGGCATAAAACCACAAAAGCGTTCTGAGGAGTGATGGGATCTATTTTACATTTTTAAAGGACAATATTCTGATTGCTGTATTCACAGTAGCCTGAGGTTACAAAGCTATTGTAAAAATTTAGGTGAGAGAAGATGATAGCTTAGACTAGTCAGAGTCCAGATATATTTCATAAGGAGGTGACAGGATTAAATCGAATGCGGGAAGAAAAGGGTAAGATGACACAAGAGACAGAAAGAGGAGCCAGCCAATGGGAAGAGGCCAGGATTGCAGGGACACTACCAAGTGGCAGCGTTGTTAAAAGGACTCCATAGAAGGCCTAAAATGCTCATTTAAGTTATTTGGTATGTGATATACTTACTAACCTCTCCCTGGTGACCCGCAAACCATCGCTATGGTCCTGGTAGCTTTGAGAGGGGTTAAATCAAGGAGAGAAAGGACATTTCAAAAAGTAGAGACTGGAAAATAAGAATCCAAAAAAAGGATATAAAGTCCAAGCCAGAGGCGGCTCCAAGAACATAAACCTTGAGAATTTACAATAATATTATAAAGGGTATTTATGGAACAGGGGTTCAGGCCAATCTTTCAGAGACCTCAAAGAGCAGAATGACCTAAAGATGTTATCTGGGTTCCATTTATACCTAGATGTGAACTCCTCTCTAGCAGGACCACCTCTTAGCAGACTTTCTTCCCAGGACCTAATACAATGTAGGTCAGGGTCATTGAATGTGAATTTATAGGAACCAATGATTATTTATCTCTTAGGTAATTTTGCTTAAACATCCATGAGTTCAAACACATAGCAGATAATATGCATTTGAGATTTCTGTTCAGTGTCTGATGCATGAAAAGATGAAATTGTTGAAAGGAGATTCACATGCTTTAAAAAAACCCACATAGGTGAGAAAGCTGTTTTGCTTTTTGTTTTTTAATTAACAAACTTGACTAGTAGCGTTGTTGTGTCTAAAGCCAGTACGTCTTTACACAGAAGTGGGATATAAGCATTAAGTTGGGCTAAGACCTTGTCCGAAAACAGCCTCAGA